GAAATGCTCTTTTTGATAATGAATGTAACACCATTCTTCTTTAATTCGTCATTCCTGGCATAATAAAGCGTATGATTATTTGACTCAAAACAGCCAATACCTATCCATTTCAGCACACTAATGACTAGGATATTGATATTTATGCATTCCATTTCATTTTTTACAACTTCCAAGTTTCATAGATTCATACTTTGTGCATTTCACATTATGATTATTAATGGATGTTGCAGCCGTTTCTTCTCATTTTGAGTTGTGCCCCATCAGCAAATGGTCTTGAAAGCTTTGCTCCAGCCACATCAGTAAGGTCAGCTGTACTTTAAGGGTCTTATACACTGAGCGGCTCATATTCTAGCACTCTATCAGACAATGTTCTGATGCTATTTGTAAGTTTTCAGTAGCTACTGGTTCAGAAGTGGTCAGCCTCTCCTTCTTCCTGGTCAGTCTTCATCTGAAAACTCCTCTGAAACTTGTTCACCATGGGTGAACATGCTGATACTTAAAATAATAGTGGTGTAGCCCCCAGTATCAACACACAAGTCACCACAGTAAGACAAATTGACAGATGAGTGGTGGATTCTACTCTTAGGTACATTAAAGCAGCTCTATTCATAACTGCCAAAAGTTAAAACAGCCCGAATGTCTCGTGTGATTGGAGTTTTGTTTTTTTTAAAAAACTGTGGATATGGCACTACAATACTGCTCAACAATACAAGAAAAATGAACAAACAAAACTCACTGCCTTCAGTGGTTATCAGACTCATCATGACACCATAAGACAGAGTGGAACTATCCTGTAGGGTTTCTAAGGCAAAATTTTTATAAAAGAAAACCATCACATCCTTTTCACCACGTACCTAGCTGTTGTCAAGTTAAATTCCAACTCATAGAGACCCTATACAGAATCTCAAAACTGTAAATCTCTATGGGAGCAGAAAGCATCATCATTCTCTAGGCGTTGGCTGATGGTTTTGAACTGCCGACCTTATGGTTAGCAGCCCAACATCTAACCCAAGCTCTACCCCAGGGATCCTTAATTTACATAGTAGCATGGTAAATTTCAAATGCATTATGCTAGGGACTTTATATAGAATTTTGGTAAAAGCAAACCTATAGACCTGAAGAAGAGATTGGTGATTGCCAACAGTTGGAAATGAAGGAGAGGTGATCAAAAACGAGCTAAAAAATGAAAATTTCGGACTGATGGAATGGTTCTGTATCTTCATTATACACTTACAAAGACTCATAGACTGTACCTCAGAAAGTGATTTTGTTGTTATTGTTAAGTGCCGTTGAGTTGGTTTCACTCATAGCAACCGTGTATAGGGTTTGCAAGAAGCAACTACTGAATATGAGCCACCAACACTGTGGTTCAAGCTGACCTTGTGTTCCAGTGCTTATACTACAGTGCCACACCACTACTGCAAAAATTTATTTACTATGTGCAATTAAAAAAAAATACTTTAGAAATTATTTTTAATTGCTATATCAGAAAATAGGAAATGTCTAAATATCAATGACCTATGGTTCTAACTAAAGAATTTAGTAAGAGAGCAAAACAACAAGGTAAATAAAAAGAAACAAATAGCAAAAATAAAAGAAGAAATCAAAGAAATAGAAATAAACAGAAAACTAAAACCAGCAACAACTGAATTTCATGCTGTTGTACACAGGTTATGCCATGAATAGGATCCATTCAATGGTAACTGACAACAGGAAGTTTATAAATATTCTAAATTTTGGAATACCTTCATAAAACTTTTTATTCTTAATGAATGAAATTATTTCACTAATCAAAATCTATTTTTAATATATAATCTTATACTCACACAGCAAATTCTAGAGAAATAAGAGTAACAGATACAATATTCTTTAAAATATTAGTTACCAGTTTTAAAGGCATTCCTCTGCCACGTTAAAAAAAAAAAAAGACAGTAATTTTCAAATTGGCCAAATATACAGAATAGCAGATTAATTAACACCCCTATAGCCTCTGGTAGTAGAAATTTTGAGAAGTGAGAAACTGCTTTT